AAAATATTTTTGTACAGCCATACAATGTGTTTGTGTTTTAAGCCAAGTGTTACTACAAAAGAGTCAAAACCTTAAAAACTTACAAAGTAAAAAGGTTTTAATAAGTTAAGGTCAATTTATTGCTGAAGAAAGAAACATTTTTATTTAGGATAGCCTCAGTGTACAGTGTTTATAAAGTCTACAGTAGGGTATGGTAATGTTTAAGGCCTTCACATGCACTCACCACTCACTCACTGACTCACCCAGAGCAACTTCCAGTCCTGCAAGCTCCATTCATGGTAAGCGCCCTAAACAGGTGTACCATTTTTATCTTTTATACCTTATTTTTACTGTACCTTTTCTATGTTTAGATACACAAATACTTACCATTGTTACAACTACCTACAGTATTCAGGACAATAACATGTTGTACAGGTTCATAGCCTAGGAGCAATAGCTATACCCTATAGCCCAGGTGTCTAGTAGGCTATACTATCTAGGTTTGTGTATAATACTCTATGATGTTTGCACAACAAAATCGCCTAATGATGTATTTCCCAGAATGCATCCCATTGTTAAGTGATGCATGACTGTATTTATTCTCATTAGTAATGTTGTGTTTTTCCTCCTTTTTGTCTCATTAATCCCAACCGTTGCCATCCTTCAAGACCTGTTTTGAGTTTCCCTTCCTCCGTGAAGTCATCCCAATGCTAGTTTCATTCATTCATTCATGCTACCAATAAATATTTACCGAGGGTCCACTCCTTGCCAGGCAATAGGTTAGGTTTTGTGGATTCAGAAGCAACCCAAATGGACATGGTTCTTGCCCTCATGGACATAACAGGCCCTCCACTCTGAATTCAAGTAGAGCTCTATCATTTTCAGGAATGTTACCATTTTTCACTAATTAGATGGGAGCACTTTAAGGGTAGAGGCCACATTTACATTCTTCTGAATGCCTAGCACAGCACCAGGAGCATGGTGGTCTCATCATACATTCTTGTTGATTAGATGAAAGACTTGTGTAGGTTTGTAGGGAACATGAAGCTTAATGGTGACAAATCTACCGGAGCCAAGTAAGCAGGGTCAACAGAGAGAGCAGACCAGAGCTGTGGGAAGGGTGGGAGGGAGGAAGCCCCATGAGACAGCAACTGAGAACTGAGAAAGAGCAACAGCCCTGAAGTAGTGTGAGGGACAATAAGGACTCAGAGCTGGATGTCCTTGTCACAGAGGGAGTTGTGTTGGTACAATGAATGAATGAAGGCAGGAACTCCAGCAAGACCCTCAGTATATATTTGTTGGTAGAAGGAATGAATGAACAAAAGCAGGAACTCCAGGGTTATTTTCCAAAGATTGTCTCTGTTCTAGAAGAAGAGGAAGATGATTGTGATGCGGTTATATGGGACAATGCACTAAATGCCATGTAGCATGGAAAGCAACAATGTTGTAATAAAAGGACATTCCTTTCTATCACTCTGAGGACAATAGGACTTTGTACTGGGTCAAGTTCCAAATGGACAGTATCATGGCATAATGACGGATGTGCAAGGTAAATGGCTGGTGTAGATGGACAAAGTGAACATAATTTCACAGCCTAGAACCCAGTGCACACAGAAGGGGATGAAGGTACAGAAGTGATCACATACATTGAAGAGCGCCACAGGTGAGAGGTGGAGATACTTCCTTCCCACCACAGAGCTGCTTCTGTTTTCCATAGTCCAAAGCATTGAAGGGATCAAAGGAGTTAGACCTGGGTTAGACCAGAGACAGGCACAGCAAATGTGCCATTTGTATAGCATATGTATATATGTGTATGTATACATGTGTTAGTATGTATATTGCGAAATATATATGTATTCCATTGTTTCATTCTTTATCCTGACATTTTACTGTAATATACCTAATGACCTTCCTCATACCAATTCCTTCAAGTATCCTAGTCAAAGTCATAATAAATTAAACCAAAA